CAGCGTTCTCGTTGCTAGAGATCCTGTATCAACATCAAGATTTCTCTATCTAAGACTAAGTTTCGAGCAATGCTCGATTTTATTTGTGCTGAAGATCATCCAATTGGAGAAGTTACACATTACTTTTGGCGACGAGAATACCAAGGTAGAGGTATACAGCATTTTCATCTGTTAATTTGGATTAAAAATGCGCCAATTATTGGTGAATCTTCTGTTGAAGAAATTTCTAAGTTTATTTTACAATATATAAGTTGTAAAATGCCGGATAAAAATATTTCTCCATTATTATATAAGCGAGTTAATACGTATCAACAACACAAACATAACGATTATTGTCTTCGTTCTAAGAAAAGAGGGCGAAAAATTGGTCGTGTGTGTCGTTTTGGTTTTCCACGTCCTGTTACAGAAACGTTGATTGTCAGAGATGTTGTAAGTTCGATAGTAGGAAGAAAACAATTAAAACATAGAAGTAGACTTTATGACCTTCCCCGAACAGATATTGAAGTTAATATAAACGATTATAATCCTATTCTTCTTACTGTATGGGAAGGAAATATGGATATACAATTTCTTGCTGAAAAATCTACGATTCTTACTGGATATGTTACTAAATATATTAATAAAGAAGGGAAAAGTGAATTATCCGATTCTAATCTTGAGAGTAAAAATCAGAAAAACAGAAAAGTGGCGAGCTATCTTTGGAATATTGGTTTACGATTCATGAATAATAGGGAATGTGGAGCTCTTGAAACTGCTAATACATTGCTAGGTATTCCTTTATATGGGACTGATAAAAATACGAGTATTAAATGGTTAGATGTTAATCAAATACGATACAAAAAAGTTAAAAGTTGTAAAGAAATTGAAGCTCTTGACGCAGATTCTACAGATACATTTTGTCTATCTATAATAGACAATCATTATCCATATAGACCGAAAGAATTTGAATCGACGTCTTTATACGAATTTGTAAAATGGTATGATATTACGAAAATCAAACCACGAAGTAAAAATATGACGTATTATAAGATGAACAATGGTTATTATCTTAAACGGCGACAGCGTGGATATCTTATTAATCATTATAAATATAGTGTTAATACGCAGCCGGAAAAGTATTTTTTTTCATTACTTCTTATGTTTAAACCATGGCGGAAAATAGAAGAGCTTAAAAATGGATGTGATACATATGCAGAATCATTTCACAAGATAGAATTATATCTTGTTCAAGCATTGCAATATCATGAAAGAATGGAGGAATTGCAAAAAGCATTAGAAACAGCAAATCAATTAGTTCAACAACAATTAGACGAGAAACAGCATGAGTCACAAGATGATCCTGATAATCCGATAGGTGTTCAAAATATTCAAGCTGGTGAAGCAATGCAAGATTTTAAAGATCTTGGTAATAAATGTAACGAAGAAATCGATATATCTGAAATGATGTTAAAATTAAATGGAGATCACAAAAAAGTATTCGATAACGTTACTAGTACCGTTATGTTAGATAAAAAATTATTACGATTGTACGTTAATGGAGAAGGAGATACCGGAAAAAGTTTCTTGATTAAAACTATTAAATGCTGGATAAAACAAAATCTCAGCAAAGATAGTGCTATAGCGGCACTCACTGGTATAGAAGCGTTTAACATTGATTTGACAGCACATAGATTGTTTCAATTACCAGTTGAACATGGTAATATTCCTAAGTACAAACCATTAGCTGATCACGATTTAAAAGTTTTACGAGCAGATCTCAAAGATGTTGTTCTTTTTATAATTGATGAAGTATCAATGATATCTAATTTAACTTTATTGTATATACATCAACGATTATCTGAAATATTCAATACTATCGACTGTGATGATGGTTGGTTTGATCAAAAACATATGCTTTTATTTGGAGACTTGCTTCAATTACCTCCTGTACATCAAGATCCTGCCTTTGTACGTTTATCGAATAAAAAAATTCAAAAATTTCTTGGTTCCTTACATACTGTTAATCTATGGACTACTTTATTTGACTATGACGAATTGACGATTAATATGCGCCAGCAAGGAGACGAATTTTATCGTGAATTACTCTCGAGAATTCGTATTGGTTTAGTAACAAAATCTGATTCTGACATTCTCAAAAAAAGAAAAATATCCTTAAAAAATGAGTCTCAAGAAGCCAGATTAAATGAAATATGTAATTGTTACGTCCTGCAGACGCAGATTCTTTCCTTTCGAGAGAATCGGCTCCGCCGCGACTACGATTGGCGCCTGCGAGACGCGAGCAGGAGTCCCCTTATAAAAATTGAAAAACAGACCACACAGGCTCCGCGAAAAACTCGCAAACGTCAATTAACCCGGAAAAATAACAACACTAACGCAGATCTAAAAGGGACAAGATTACGAAAAATATCATAAATGGACCTAAGTCACGCGATGATAAAAATTCAAGCTGTTGTCCGAATTGTTGACCAACAATTCCACCTTCAGAAAAACAGGCGCCGCGTCGCCACAAAAATCATAAAAACATGAGATAACGTCTCTGTTCCATAGGATTCAGCACAATGTAATAACAAAATATTCTTGCTATGTCTTTTCGTCTTTATTATTTGGTATCACAAGTAATTTCTTTATTACGCATTACATTGAAAATGTTCGCATTATCACGACGTACTGTATCACGACGAGTATCGTTCGTTCGCATAGAGTTCGATTCACTGATATCGACGACGCCTAGGAGCTAATGCCCTGAGTCGATCAATGAAGACGTTTAAGGGCTGTTGTCCAGATATAGAGTAAATTCGGTACGGAACTTGCGACGACGCCTAGAGAGATCTCTTGAGTCGCGATCGGCTCGAATGACACCGCTCGGAGAAAAAGAATTTCGAAGTTAATTCTACCACGGTCGCGAGCTGATTAAGCGACGGGTACCGGTGTAACAATCACGACGCGATGGTAGGGATCGCACCCCCATCCGAAAACAGATCCTAATTGGTCGTTTGCGGATCACGCTGCTAGCAAGCACGAATGCACGTAAAACCCCTACGCGACAGTACGGCGCCGTGATCCGTTTTTCTTTGTTACCGATGACAAATACGTGTTAGTCTATAAGTACGTGTATGCCTTGTGTCAAATGCCGCCGTACCAAATTTACTGCGTATCGTCATGCATGACATAAAAAAAGAGCTCAAATATAACATTCTCCCCCCGTGGAGAGGGAAGCGATCAACTAATTTACGAATATTTATTATTACAAAGTGTTTTGTTTGTTGGACGCATTTCGTATGTTAGCTTGTGTAGCTATCTGATAATATATATATATATATATATAAGGACCTCTTAATTTCTCCAGCCATGGTCTTGATAGTTGCGGCTCGTGCTGTTCCATCCCTGGATGAAGTTTAATGATTTTGCCCATGCCCATTGCCGCATGCATGGCAAATTTTTGTCATTAATAAGCACAACTGATCCCTCATTGATTTTCGGACCGTCCTTAATCCATTTGACTCGTTTCTGGAGTTTATTGAGGTATTCAATGTTCCAACGTTTCCAGAAGTCTTGTCGTACTTTAGTTATGTGCTGCCAGGTAGACAGTCGATTTGCTGGAACAGTGAAACAGTTGCCCTCGGGCAGGGTCATTAGTGACTTTCCGATTAAATAGTGTGACGGAGTCAACACCATCATATCATTCGGATCAGATGACAAAGTGTTAATTGGCCGGGAATTTAATATGCTCTCGACTTCGGTGGTAAAAGTATTTAGTTTCTCAAACGTAAATAGAGAGTCTCCAACGACACGCTTGAAATGGTGTTTAAATAATTTAATCATTGACTCCCATAATCCACCGAAATGTGGGGCCACCGGCGGTATAAAGTGCCATAAGATACGACGGTCAGTTGCAAATTTAAATACGGAATCCTTATGTTCGGTGGAGTTAAACAACGCATACAACTCCTTAAGATGGTTATTCGCTCCCACGAAATTCGTCCCATTATCGGAATAAATATGCTCCGGGAGTCCTCGTCTTGCCACGAACCGCCGCAAGGCAGCAATGAAGCCGTCGGTTGACAGATCACTCACCACTTCGAGATGTACCGCCTTAATCGTCATGCAGACGAATACACACACTTATGCTTTAATTCTAGTTCGATTGCGATATTTTTTCTCCTTAATAAAAAATGGGCCTCAAAAATCGATGCCTGTATTGGTAAAGGGAACTGCTTCGCGAACCCGGACTGGTGGTAGATTACCCATTTTGTATTGGAAGGATTTAGCGTGAAATCTTGAACGTGTGCAAGTACAAATAATTTTCCGTACTTGATTCCGGCCATTCAGAAGCCAAAATCTCTGGCGGAGAATGTAGAGGGTCGTCTGAATGCCCGCGTGGAAATGAGTCTCATGGAACTCACGGATAATACAATCAGTTAGATGATGCTTGGATGGAATTAAAATCGGATGCTTCTGTGAGAATGTTAACTTCGACGTTTGTAAACGTCCGCCAACTCGAATTATGTCATTATCGTCGATGAACGGACTAAGATTAGCAATTCTGCTATTATGCGTTACGTTACCGGCTTTAAGAGTTTTAAATTCGTCAGAAAATCCACTATGCTGTAATATTCTGAGTATTCGCGTTTCAGACTCATTGATTTCTGTCGTACATAATGGTCCGGTGTATTTATTAGCACGTTGAAAGCGAAGACAGTAGGCGGTAACTCTTATTAGTTTAGAATACGAAGAGTACCTTTGTAATATTCCATCGTCGTTATAAACCGTTTGTAAACAAATGTTCCGTTTTAACTCTGTTATTTCAATTGTTCGCATAATCTCGTTGCCAACTCGCTTTCGTATTTGACCAACCACGAGGGACCTGTGAATCATGTAGTATTTCGTGATAACATCCGAGGCGATTGGCCCCTTGAAATAGCGTCAGCCGGGTTATTGTCAGAAGTCATATGTCGCCATTCGCCCGCTTTAGTGAGCTCCTGAACTTCGGCCACTCGATTTACCACGAATGTTTTAAGTGAATGGGGCGCTATTTTTAACCAATGCAATACAATGGTCGAATCGCTCCAAAAAATGATTTTGTTGAACGCGAAATTGATGTTGCTATTCACTTCCCGATATAATTGCGCTAATAGCTGAGCTCCGCATAGTTCAAGCCGCGGTAATGTAACAGTCTTCAATGGCGCAACCCGCGATTTGGCACAAAGTAATCTAGACGCAAAATGCGGGAATCAAGGGGAACGAGGTCGCTGATGAGCTAGCAAGGAGCGGCTCTTCAGCTAGATTAGTGGGGCCGGAACCGGCCCTTGGATTGCCAGGCTGCAGGGGCAAGGCGAGAATAAGGGACTGGTTGCATGACCGCCATATGAGCTATTGGAAGGAAGAAACAAGGACCAAATGTCGGCAGGG